TTTTGTCATTTTGTAGGTACACTTTGAGCAAATACTACTTAAAGTAACACATTAAATTCAATAAAAACAATTAAAATTATTCAATAAAAACAATATATTCTGCAAGCTAAACATATTATTTTCTCCACGTCTTAATTTTTTAAAAATTAATGTTGTACCAGAACATTAAAAAATAATAAAAAAATATCTTGTAAAAAAATAAAAAATTTTTCAAGATATGTTTAAAAAAATGACATTTTGAATAAGATATTTTTTAATGCAGACACTTTTCTTGTACACATCCTACACTTTATAAGAAAAAAGGAAAAAAACACAAACCTGGAAATTTTAAGATTTTTACCTGGAAAACCTGGAAAAATCAGGGAAATTTGAAATCTGTTTTGAGTGGCCACCCTGGATAATTCTTATTAATTAAATTAATGGCTTCTTTTTTTAATCTTGAAATTGTTAATGGTTATTTATCACCTTCATATTTTTCTTCAAACAACATTTACATAGTTTTTTAAAAATTTTTTAAAAAAATTTTTGGTAGAAATATTGTAATTTAAAATATAAAAATCAATTTTCTATAGCGTTATGACTGTTTGAAATTATAAATCTTTTCAAACGTAATTGTATTTTTATTCTATAAAAATTAAGAAAAAGTATTTATTGATAAATTCATAATTATTTATAAATTTTATAAAGTGGAATGATTTGAGGTGCTTAGATATTAGTATGGCCTGTTTTTATTTGAAATAGGACTTAATTTAACATATCATTAAAGAAGAAACTACTCTCATGCATATTTCTAAATCAACTTTTTAGTGTTAATTCTTTTAATATATACCCTTATAAATGAAACATTTTATTAAAAGAAGAGAAAGAATTTTTTTGGTGCAACTGGATATTTAAAAAAATTGGCCCACAACTGAATGTGATGCATGTCTAGCAGCAAAATATTAAGACTTGTATTAATAATTTTTCAATGTTTTTCCGAAATTTCTTTATTTACTCTTTTTTTTTTTTAATATATGAAAAAATTGTAAATCTTAATTTCCGAACCTAATTTTACAATTCGATTTCAATGAAATCATTAAAAATGGAATACGGATTAGTTTCGTAGATGTTGATAATCTTTAACAATCTGAAAAAGAAACCAACTCAGTTTTGCAAAAATTGCCTGGTCGTACTTTGGCAAACATGTTAAATTTATACAATTATGTCAATACTTAGATTGTAATAAAATAGTTATTTATTTTTTTTTATTGAGTTTTTTAAGAAATGTAAATAATTGGTACTGTCACTGGTCGTATGTGTATATTCGATTATAAACAGTCATAATATTTTTATGGTCCATAATTTTTCAAAAAAGCCCTTAATTTTTTAAATAATTAAGTCCTTAAGTTTTGCTTTTTTAAAAGAGTGGGAACCCTGTATTGCCAAATCTAATTTTCTTATTAATAAATACCACCTTTTATACTATATTATTTTCTATTTTTGTCATTTTACACCTATATTCATCATTAGCCTGGGACAGGCATTTGACCTATCAAGCGAAGCATAGGATACCGTAAATATTTTATGTAATGTAGCTCGGCATAGGAGTAAATATTTTCTTTCTGTTTTTGTATCTCTATCTGTAATTAATTCAGTTTTACGTTTTTGATTAAAAATCAAGATGAATTAAGTGATATTAATATAATTATTTATTGTATCAAAAAATAGAAATTTATTAAAAGGGCAATGAAGAAATATTTATAAAAAAATCGATAAACACTTGAAGGTAATTTTAAAAAGTGCCTAATTATTCTTTTACCTTTCTTCCATATTAAAATTTCATTATTTTTGAATAAAAGAATCTAATCTTGCTAAACTCCAACATATGCCTGGCATTAAAAGTTGAAATTAATGATTTAACAAATAGTGATTTGGCCGAATCGCCAAATACTGAATATTCGGCTAAAAACCGAATATTTGACTGCCAAATAGCAATTTTTTTTTCTTTTAAAAAAATCATTATTTCTATATATAAATAAAGTCATTATTGAAAATAATCATAAAGCAGATAACACTTTTAGAACTATTTAATGTAAACAAAAAAACAGCTATGAAAAAGATTTAAAAAAAAGAAGAAAAAAAGAAAAGTTGAAAAAAAGTGAAATAGAAAAAAAAAATCCTCTTAGTTCTTGAAACAGAACTTGGTGTTAAAATAATAATTTTATTTTATTTTTAACTGTTGTTAAACAGCCAACCCCATTTTGAGTTTACGACTACCAATGTTCAACTCCGTAGCCTTGTAATTTTGAACCCTATCAAGAACACTACAATTGCTATTATTTAATGTATTGTAGTTTTATAATCTTTTATAAATAAACTATTATTTGGCAAATAAAATGATTTGTGACTGTTGAAGTTGCTTAAAAGACACAAGATTGTCTGTTATTTTGGTTTGTTGTGTATATGGGCACTTTGTTATATTATTGTAACTGTGGCGAACTAAAAGTTCATTGCCTTTGTTAGAGAGGAGAATGGGGTTTCACTATCCTGAGTAACGAATTTTCGTCTTATGAAAAATAAATTCTTTTTTTTCTTCAATGCTTTTAGTTTTGCATAAATGTTGTTTAAAATAAAAATTCCTAGTTTTCTCTAACACTCCTCATTATTTAAAAATGGGA